GACAGCGGCTTGGCTAGGGTGGGGAGAAGAGGGGAACTGGGCTGTGTGAGCTGGCGCACAACTCAACTTGCACGAGCAGCGGGCTTGTGTGCATGCATGCGAGTGTCCACCCGCCACTTAAGCAAGTTGCGCTGCGCCTACCCGTACGCTCTGACCAGCCACTCACATGGTCCAATTCTGAATAGGTCATGGCCCGGGGGTTGGAGACCCCTGATTTAGAAGTCTTTTCATCTGTTTCATCTCCCTCAGCTGCTCTAAACTAGGAGTTTCAGGTTCTACAGGAGGACACTGCATGATACAAAACCCCTGCACCCTCTCATTCTAAGCAGCAAGCAGGGCTTCAGGTGGGCCATGAGCACACTTTCAGGAACAATCCCAATCTCTCTCTGGAACCTAGTAGGGTTCATAATTTGCTGGAGGTGGACTGATCTAATAGGTCCAGGCTCCTACTGTAGGGCTAGAATCAGAGAACTCCAGAACTAACAGAGAGTGATATGACCTTGTCAGGGGAATAATAGAAGTCCCACTCAACTCCATGTTGCCACTACTGTGACAGGGAAACCAAAAATGGTGTGTGACTGTTGTCATGTGTCAAATCTTCAATGACCTGTGAAAGGCCCATGGCTGCCATATTAACTATGAACTCTCAAGCTGTCTTAGAGTCTGTCCCCAAAGAAGTCAAACTGAAGTCCCCCAGGACCATCCTGGGGAACACCACCAGCAGCCTGGCCACAGAATTGAGATGGTAAGGTAGATAGATTGATATGCAGCAGAGAAACAAGCATAATAGCAAAAGTGTCAGCTAAACCCTAGAGCCTAACCTAACAAGCAAGGTCTCATATCCATTAATCTTCAGGACCCCGAAAGGCCCCAGAGAATCTTGGATAGCCACAGCCCCTCCCCCCCACCTCTGTTCTGACTTCTTGGTTGACACTACACCAGAAACCCAGGTAAGCCCATCTCCAAGAAAACACCTCCTTCCATGTCCAGCCAGATTTTGATAATACATATCAAATCAACCCTCTCATCTGTGATCATAACACAAATGACTCATACTGTAGTGCCCCTAAGTCTGAGTGTCCCACCCTATCCAAGCCAAAAATCTATCTCCCTTGGGGTCATCTTGGTTCTGGCGGTGTTTTTGCCCATGTACTTTCTGCTTCCAACTGTCCTTTACAGCAACTTCCACAACCAGTATTTACCGCCCATCAGACACTTCAAACCAACCCCTTTTCATCAGTCTGCCAGGGTGCTCACTCCCCCCACCAATATCAACAAGGTGCCCTCTCCCCCTTACCAATATCTTTTTCTAGCTCTCACCCAGGGAGAGGTTTTGTGGCCATCAGCTCTTGCCAAGAAAACACTTTTACCAAAACAAAAAACCACAGTCCATATTACCTGTCTTAGTCTATCAGGTCTGAAGATAAAGTCCAAAAGGTCAGCTCATAAAAACGCTAGAGAACTCACGGTCTCCATAGGCGACTGTGGCAAATCCATAGGCAAATCCCCGATGCTCAGATCTTAATCATCAAGATGTTCATTATTTTTAAATGCAATGTAGGTAGGTGCAACTTATTCCATTATTTCTGATCCTTGTTTCTATGGCAATGGAAAATAATTCTTGACCCTCTTCCCTATCGTACCTTTTAATGTACTTGAACACCAATATCACGACTCCCCTTGTTTTATGTTTTCCAGATTGAAGATCTTAAATCACTTCAGCCTGTCCTTATGTTCTCAAGTCCCTGTATTAAGCCTGCCTTCCTCCTCCGAATCTGATCTAAACTGTCCCTTCTCAAAAAGTGATGCCAGAATTATCCACAAAAGTCCAGATATGGTCTCAGTAATGCAGAAGAGAAAATAAGGACTATGTATTTTTTTGCACAGCATTTCTTCTGATGCTATTTATGACTGCAATAGCCCTTCTAGAAGCTGTCTCACACAGCTGTTTCATGGTTAGCTTATCACCCAAGTCCTTCTTTAACGTACTGTTTCCAACCCATGAAGGTGTGTGAATATAATACTGAATATAATATCTTAAAATTCTCCCTGAAATTTTGTTCTGTCAATCCAATCTTCCAACCTGTTCAAATTATATTATAGTCTTGCCACTCTTCCTAAGTATTAGCCAAACATCCCTGTCATCCAAAAATCTGATAGGCATCCACCAATCAATCTTGTAATCCAGATCATTGATAACAATGTTGAAGAATTCTGGCCCCAAGACAGGGTGAGACCCACTGGTTGTGATTGTCCATCTTGATTGTCCATCTTGATGTAAAGCTAGCAGTGCTTTTTCTGAACATGGTTAGCCAGCCAGATGTGGACCTATCTTATTGTAGTGCCAATGCAAATCACACTATCATAGTTCATCAAAGAGGATGTCACATGAAACCTTGTCAAAAACTTTGCTGAGATCAAGGTAGATTACATCTGCAGTATATTCTCCTGCCAATGAGTTACCTTGTCAGAGAAGAATTTGTCTTACATGACACATAGCAAATCTTCAAATTCCATACAAACAGTTTGCCCTATTATCTGCTTTAACACCTTCTGAGGTATTGTTAGCTCACTGATAAGTAATTACTGGGATCTGCTTTCTTCATTTCTAGAAGAAGGGGGCCAAATATGTTCTTCTGTGGTGCTCTGGCATCTCCCTTATTCTCCAGATCTCCTCAAAGATAATGAATAGAGTTCATTAGAGCTCTTCCACCAGTCCCTTCCATATACTATTGTGCATTTCATCAGGACATAGGGGTATGACCACTCAAATTAGCTAGAAGAGTGTTTACACTATAATTTCTGACTTTCTTCCTTACCTGTTGCGTTCATTCTTAGTCTGATACTTAAAACATCATTCTTTGTGGGGATGAAAATAGGAATTGAATTCCTTTGCTTCTGTTGGCCATCTATGAAGATTCCTCCATCTAGAATGAAGAGCAATCCCAATGCCTCTTTTGACTTTGTTTTGCAACTGATAGGTTTGAAGATACCCTTCTTGTTTTAACATAGGTAGTCACAGCTCCTGCACTTTCATTTCTTGTTATTCCTTTCTAATGTATTCTTTGCTACACTCCATTGTCAAATCAACAGATGTTGATTTGGCCTCCAGAGAAAGCCATGGCTGCTTACAAAACAGGCAGGACAATGTCAAGGACAGAAGAGAAACCATAAAATATTTACTGGGGTCCTTTTGAGAACACTTTGACTGCAACCTGACCTCAAATCATACTTGGCATTTATGAAATCAGAATGGGGAGGGTGAACTAAATTAGACATTTCAGAACAACTCTTGCCTATTCCAATTTTTACATCATGCAATAACCAACAATAATTGAAGTCAATTATTGCAAATTAATTTCTGAAGAGCACTAGCAAAGCAATTTCCTTGATGATTCAGAAGGATTTTCAGAAGCAGGTCTAGCATTGATTGAAGCTCCCGATGGGCATACTTGAAACCTCCCAGGTTTCAGAGTTTTGACTTGCCCATATCCGGGAGAAGCAAAGGCTGAGCCCCACAGCAGAACTCTTTACTGTTGGGATATATCCGTTTCTGGCATTCTGCCACAAGGGAAGCCAACTGCAGAGTTTCACCTGCAGCCATCTCCAAGAAGGCCGCCTGCATCCTCAGCCTTTTACCATCTTGGAAAAATCTTGCTCCCCTCTCATAAGAGTACCAGCTTGCATCTGCTGGGAAGATACCATCCCTGACGAAGGGGACGCCCTAGTAGGGTTGCAAGTGGCATCTCAAACGAACAATACATAGAAAACGGGAAGATTTTTCTCCCTGAAGCTAGAGCAGCCAGATTTCTCTTTCAGGATACAGACGGAAGGCCTTGGAGGTTTGCAAGAGAACGATGGCAGCCCCCCCCCCCCCCCCCAAAAAAATATATCATTCCCCTCCTTTGCCTAGGCAGGCACGAAATCCGCTCCCCAGGTGGATGTTTGCACGTTGGCGTGGAGATGAACGCCGCTCACAGCCGAACCTCGCCTTTGACCCGCCTCCTGAGCGAGAGGATTGGGCGGATCGAAAAAAACGGGGTTGCCATTGGGTCCACTAGGGCTGCCCATCTGGCTGCCCCGTTTTCAGGCTCGGTTGCATCACAGCGTGCGGATGCTGCTCTCTTCGAGCCAAAAGCCAGAGCAGCGACGGCGAAGAGGCGATGATGCCGCCAGGGCATCGCTGCGAGCCGCGCGCGCAAGACGGCGGTAGGAAACGCGGCAGCTCCGGTTTTGCATCCGTCACGAAAATCCTCTAAAGTGCAAGGCCGAGGAGCCGCAATAATAATTCGAGAAAGAACCCAAAGCCGGGACTGGGGAGAAACTCTCCGGGCAGCTTCTCGCCCTCCATTCATTTGCCTGGCGAGGACGAATTCTATTAGCCTGGTTGTGGGGCGGGGATTCCGGGCTGCTTTCCCAGGCACGGAGCCTCAGGTAAACGGAGGTGTCGGCGAGGGAGCGAGCTGTACATTCCCGCGCCGCTCGATCGCTCGCGGTCGGAGGGAGTCTCCTGCTGCCTGGATGCCTTTGTCCCTTCCCGCCAGGAGTTGGTTGGAGGCGGCCGAGCTTTTCAGGGGGGAGACCATTAAGATCCCCCACCCATTCCCGCATCCTCTGGGGGCAGCTCTCGGTAGCATCCTCCTCCTCCTCCTCCTCCACCTCCTTTTCCTCCTCCTCCGATCGGCAGCCTGTTCGGCTGGACAGCGCCGAAACGAAGAAGTTTGCGCGCCAGTCCGGAGACACCAAAGTTGCTGCTGCTGCTGCCGCCGTCGCCGCTGCAGGTAACCCGACAGCACAACCGGCGGGGAGAAAGCGTAGTCCTTGCCTTCGGGGCAAGATGAGCTGCGAGGGGGCGACGCGGAGGCCGGGTTAGGGGGCTGACCCCTCGCGTCTGTCGCCGCCCTTCGTCTCCCATTCCTCCTCCCGCGGGAAGGACGGCTCGAGCGCCCCAGCTCACCCCCCGGGGGTAGGTAGACCCCCCCGGGCATGCTGCCTGGAGGATGCTGTGGTTCCCGGTGAAGAAGATCCGGAAGCAATTCAAGTTGCTGCTGCTGCTGGTGCTGCTCACCTTCGCCGTCTGGTTCACCTACCTGCACATCAACCTGGTGCGCCAAGGCAAGGCGCTGCGCTTGCACTTCGCCTACGGCCGGGGTAAGCAAGGGGGCGGTGCCCTTCCCCACCCCCACCCCCACCCCCACTTTCGATGCCTTTGCTTTCTTTCCAAGGCTGTCGGGGGAGCCGGCACCCCTAGCTAGCTTGCTTGCTTGCTTGCAATTTCCCCAACTCTCCAATCCCCGCGCTCTCCTTTGCTTCCCTTCTCGGCGTCTCTTTCGAATTTAAATATTGAGCCATCTGTGGAAGAGTTGCACAAAATCGTGCTCATCCTGCCTAGAGTGATTAATCTGGAATAACACCAACTCTCATCTAAAAGCATTAGGGCAGGGATTATTTGCAAAGCAAGGAAGGGAGTGCTGTCATATGTTAGGGTGCGGGAGTCAGGGGTAGCAAATAAGCATTCTGAATTATCAGCTGCCTTCTCCAGGTGGCTCATCTTTGTAGTTTTGCATATTGTTTTAATCTTTCCTTTTCTATCTTTTCCCCTTTGATCCATTAATAAATCAGCATCTTTAATACCTTAGAAAGGGCTATTCAGAGCATCCTAAATAGGCTTCCTACCTGCTTGTTATCCAGGAATGCTGAGCATTTAACTTCTGAGGCTGCATTGTTATTTATATAGTCTCATTTGCAGGATAAGGCAGTGAATCACCTGTTTAGAATCATCTGGCATATTTGAGAAGACAGTTTGGTGTAATAGTTAAAGGCACTAGACTGGGCGTGTGAGATTGAATTATTGTCATCTCTGAAGCAATAATACCAGCTGGATCACTTTGGGCCAGTCATTCTCTTTCAATGCTAGGAAGAAGGTACTAGCAAAACCACTTTTTTATTGCAAGGAATACCATATAGACAACCATGTGGTCACCAGGGTTGATTTGAGAGACCAAAACTCATAAGTGGGAAACATAATTTGAGAAATGAGGAAGTCAGTTGGTTTTGTTGAGGAAGCCCTGGGATCTATTAAACCACTAGGTAATTTTTTTTTAATGCTTGCATGATTGTAAGATGCCCTTTTTAAAAAACTCTGAAGATGTATGTCAGTAAATGGTGGTATTTCATAGCAATGACCTGCAATTACCTGAATTGATCTTAGTTCAAGGGCTTGAATTGATCTCAGTTCAAGGGCAGCTATCAGATTTTTATTTCTATCAACCTTGGTCTGCTAAGGCGACATTCTCCCAGTTGCTGGAATCTCTTTTTTTAATAACAGGAAAACTCTTGTAAACTCTGCAGCCCAACCCTATGCAGGTTTATTCTGAATCCTCCAAAGTGTTCAATTGGATTTTCTCCTACATGAGTGTAGCTAGGTGTGCAGGTTTCATTTCCCCAACTGAGTTTGGAGGAGCCCAGGGAAGAGCTTCTGTGCACACTTAACTGGTTCCAGAACTAAGGTCAGGCACTTGGCTACAATTTCCAACAAGCTGTCTAAAATCCTCCAGGACTTTAGTCTTCGTGGCGAAATGTTTGTAACAGCAGCTCAATATTTCTTTAGAGCTGGACTGAATAATGATTTCTGAATCCAGCGCACAGAGCTCTACTGTATATCTTGGGGGGAAAAGGAATTCCTAAGTGCATGGAAAATCTAGCTTTTTCTATTTGAGCCAGTTGCTGAACTCACACACCGGGCTGAGAAAAGAGAAGCCATAGCCATAATGTCTTCTTTATGCCATTTGAATTTCAGGGGTAACAAAGGAGGGCTTTGATCTCATACAGATTAAGGAGGTAAAGTGGGGGCATTTCCTCCTGAGCTGGTTATTTGCTCATTCCTTAATGGTCAAGGAGAAATGGGAGAAATGTCAAGAGGAGAAAAAAATAATAAAATAGATTAGGGAAAACCCTTCTGATTACTTCATATGTTTAATTTTTATAAATGTTTTAAAACTCCTGGCTGCTGATTGGCTAGAGGAAATAGATTTTTTTGGAATGGCCTTATAATCAGTTTAATTTTTTTAAATGAAAATGAACATTTGTGAATTTCACTGTGTCTATGGAAGATGCCTTAAACTACAATGACTGACTTTGCTCATTTGCGAAGCCATAATGTGTGGTTGTCAGATAATGCAATTGCAGTCAATTGTGATTTCTTCAGCACATCATGATTAAGCCATGGTTTAGTGTGATGTGTGAAACTACTGTATCTGTAATTTACAAGCTCTGCATTGTCTTTTTTAATCACAGGGCATTTGTTATACCTTAGCTGGAATTTAGTTTGGAGTTCTTTTTGCAACAGAAAAACAGAACGTGTTAGTGGACCTTCTTCTGACATCTAAATCTTAGATGTTACAAAATTGACTGCATACTGTACAGTCTATACTGTACAGTCTATACTGTACAGTCTATACTGTACTGTATAGAGGATGATGGAAATAGATTTAATAAGATTTTGAAACTTCAGCATAAGTTATTACTGGTTCTTCTATTCAGCTGCATTTTTTAAAATAATGAGTTGCTTTTTATTTTAGTTCTGCTTCAGGAAATAGAAGTATAGTTTGAAGTAATTTGGTTTACACCACAATGATCCCAAAAACATATTTAGTTTATTATGGCCACAGACCAGAACAATTTTAAAAAGTAAGATAAAAAAGTAAAGTAGACACATAAAAAAAAACAATGCATGATGTGCCTAAAACAGTATACTAAATATTTTAATATGACTTTAATCAGACTCATCCCACTTGAAGCAGTCTTCTGCCTTCCATCACAACCATGTGCTATATTTGCTCTGCTACCTGACATCCCTGCGTCCTGATCGACCCCATAGAAGGTTGAAGTGTCATCTTTGGTCCTGCCTAGATACTGTGTTATAAATGTGGAAATACACATAGCTCAATTGTCTTTACATAAGAGGCAGTGTAGCAAGACATAATGGACGGTTTTATTCTTCCTTTCACCACATGGGTGGAGAAGGTGCTCTTTAGGAACATTGTAAAATCTGCCCTCCCAAAAAGCAGACAGAAGGGCAATGTAAATGCTCTTGTGGTATTTTGAGGTGCAAGCTTAAACAAGTAATGGATAGAAGCAACACTTCAAGTATGTCACTGGGATGAAGTAAGATGGAGCTTGGCTGCAATAATTTTGCAGATCAGCATCTCTGGATTATTGCTTAAAGAATGATTTAGCTAGTTCAAAACCCAAAGAGATCAGTGCATTAGGAAAGAATTCCTACTACCTTAAGGGGAAACAAAGTGATTTCCACCAAGAAGATTGAAATTTAACTTGCAGAGTCAAACTAATTTGAAAATTAATGTAAACCAGAGCTAACATGTGCAAGTGCTATGTGCACTCAAGTTTTATTAGTGCCAATCCAGTCTTTCCCTACTTGTACTTCAGGAAGAATTGTATTTATTTATTTATTTATTGGTTTGATTTATATGCCGCCCTTCTCTGGAGACTCAGGGCAGCTTACAATGCATTAAGCAATAGCCTTCATACTTTTGTATATACCTGCTTAGTAGGGCTTTCGGCCCCCCCAAGCGGTGTTCTTTTTTATACAAAGTCAGCTTATTGCCCCCACAATCCGGGTCCTCATTTTACCTATCTCGGAAGGATGGAAGGCTGAGTCAACCTTGAGCCTGGTAAGTTTTGAACTTGCAGTAATTGCAGGCAGCTGGTGCTACTTAACAGCACTTTAATCTGCTGCACCACCAAGGCTCTTTTAGATCCATTGTAGCACCAAGGCTCTTGAGAACCATTGTAGCACTTGAAATATGTCCAGTTAAGAAACTTGATTGAATGGTTTCTAATGGGTCTGTGTTCTGTAGGCACATAGTTGGAAGCCATAATATAGCTGTGTTATTTTTGGCTTAAACACTTTTAGTCTACCTGGTGTATAATGTGTCAAATTCTGATACTTCTGATTTTTAAATACTTTTGCAGAATCTATGAGTATCATAAAGCTGCTTGATCTTAATAATCAAGGGAGAATTACATCTGAAGTCATACATTTGGAACTGAACTTTAATCTCTATCTTCAGATGAACTGCTAATACAAGATTATTTCACAGGACTGTTTTTCTTTACATTGCAAACAAAGCCTGTGTTTTATGGTAAAAGGTTTAAACGTCGAGCCTATATTTCAGTGATGGCTAACCTTATCCGGAACGAGTGCCCAAAGCGCGTGTGTGCCCATGCCCCTAAAATGCAATGGACCTGCGACTTCTGCGCGTGTGCTCCACTCCTGTGCATGTGCATGCGCCCGGCCCCCTGCACAGGCAGGGACCTGAAGACCAGCTGGCCGGCGGGAGGCATATACGTATGCGCAGCAGAGCTCAACTGGGGCAACGGCTGACGTGCCATCAGAGAGGGTGCTGTGTGCCACCTCTGGCACACAAGCCATAGGTTTGCCATCACGGCTATATTTTATATAAAAAATGGGGAGGAGTATTGCTAGAATTCTCAGTAATCTTTTATTGTTTGTTGATCAAACCTTACTGAATAAGTGAATGCATATTGTGGATATTTAAAAAAAAAAAAGATTAACCATTAGGAATTATTTAAAAATCTTAATCATTTACATGCACATATCAAAATGCACATTTCTTTTTTTTCCATTTAATCATGTCTGATTCACAGAGATTGCCTGGACAAGTCCCTGCTTGCCTTTTCTTAGCAAGATTTTTCAAAAAGTGGTTTGCCATTGCCTCCTTCCTAGGGCTGAGAAAAAGTGATTGGCCCAGGGTCACTCTATTGGCTTTGTGCCTAAGGTGGGACTAGAACTCTTATCTCCTGGTTTATAGCTTACTACCTTTAACCACCACACCTCTCAAACTGAGCCTCAATTTTAGTGCGCAAAGAACTACCTCCGTACATTCAGGAAATAAGAGGACAAATGTATATGGCTCTGGAGCTCATCAGTATTAATACTATTATAATTGCTTGATTTATGCAATTTTTAAAATTGTACTGTACTTTGGATAGCTTTGTGGAGGCTTTTATTGCACTTCGGCATGGTATGAAAATAGCTTTGGCCAGTCTGGAGAATGACTTTTATTGTAATGGACGCAACCTTTTTGGTTGTGTGAAATCAGCATTAA